CACTCCAGCCTGGGCGACAGAGTGAGACTCCAACTCAAAAAAAAAAAAACTAGCTGGGCATGGTGGCACACTCCTGTAGCCCCAGCTACTAGGAGGGCTGAGGTGGAAGGATTGCCTGAGCCCAGGAGGTCAAGGCTGAGGTGAACTGTGATCAGTGCCACTGCACTCCAGCCTGGGCAACAGAGTGAAACCTCTGATTCAAAAATAGAAAAAAAAAAAAAAAGATAAAATTTTGCAGAAATCTTTAATGGCCATCCTATCCATTACAAATTATGAGAAAAGTCATTAAAAGTTGAAAGAAATAATTTTTGCTTAATAGATACATTTGATCCATTTGACAAACTTCCCATTTCATAAGTGACATAACCCTTCAATAATTGATTTTTGGTAAACTGGCAAAATTGACCAATGCTAGCTTCATAGACTGTTGGACTCAGAAACTCAAAGAATGGTCTCGGGAACTCTTTTCCCCTCTTGGTTTGGTTTCTTCTCCTGGTTTTTCCCTCAAGTGTGGCAGAGATGGCCATCATTCCTCCAGTTAGAAGAGTATGGTTGTTCCCCAGCAATTCTAGTGGGTGACTGAAAGGGCCAGCTGGGTCATGAGCCCATCCTAGAATGAATCTCTTTTGGTTGGAGCATTTTCATGCCCTGATGGGATGAGCCTGGGTTATATGCCCACCTGTGGTAATCAGAATTCTAAAGATGCCCCCTGCTGTGATTTCCCTTGTTGGTTATTTACCAAATGCTAACCTAGGTACTGCCATGTGAAGGTTAATTTTATGTATCAACTTGGCAGGGCCATAGTCCCCAGATACTTGGTCAAAAATGATTCTGGATGTTTCTGTGAAGGTTTTTGTTTTGTTTTTTTAAGAGATTAACATTTATGTCAGTGGTCTTTGAGTAAAGCAGATTACTTCCATATTATGGGTAGGCCTCATTCAATCAGTTGAAGGACTCAATAGAAAAAAGTATCTGACCACCTCTGGGCAAGAAGGAATTTTGCCAGCCCACTACCTTTGGATTTGAACGGCAACTTTTCCCTGGGCCTCCAGCCTGCTGTCCTGCCCTGGAGATTTTGGATTTACCAAACCTCTACAATCATGTGAGCCAATTTTTTTTTTTTTTTTTAGTTGGTAGTCTCACTCTGTCACCCAGGCTGGAGTGTGGTGGCATGCTCAAGGTCACTGCAGCCTCAACCTACTGGGCTCAGGAGATCCTTCCACTTCAGCCTTCCAAGTAGCTGGAACTACAGGCGTACACCACCACGCTCAGCTAATTTCACCATCTATCTATCTATCTATCTATCTATCTATCTATCTATCTATCTATCTACCTATCACCTATCTTTCATCCTATCTATCTATCCATCCACACACACATTCTACTGGTTCTGTTTTTCTGGAGAACCCTGACTAATACATGCTGTGAATGTACTGCTGTCAATTTGCAGATGTAATTAAGATTGCTAATTAGTTGACCTTAAAATAAGATTATACTGGATTATTCAAGTGGGTCCAATGTAATCCTATGAACCCTTAAAAGTAGGAAAAAAGGGGACAGGGGAGAAGAAACAGAAAAATGATGTGACAAGAGAGAAAGGCAGAAGAGAAAGACCAAAAAAAGTGTCAGAAAGGGAAGTTGGAGGGACGTGAAGCAGGAATGGGACTCAACCTGCCTTGCTGGGGGTGGAGGTGGGGGTGAGGGACATGAAAAGCACAAGGAGGAATTAAGCAGCCTCTGGGACGAAGAGCAGCCCCTGGGGGACAGCCAGCAAGGAGAGAGGGACCTCAGTCCCGCAGTCACAGGAACAGAATCTGGCCAACAGGCCGAATGGACTTGTTCGTGGACTCAGCACCGGAGCCTTCCAAAAGGCACAAAGTCTCACCAACACCTTGATCTCAGTCTGTGAGGTCCAGAGCAGGCGAGCCTGGGGAGCCCATCGTCTGACCTACAGAATTGTGAGATCATCAATTTGTGTTGCTTTAAGCTGTTAAGTTTGTAATAATTTGCTATGGCAGGAACGCACCACGCTTGGAGGATGTGGAGTCTGCCGCTCCAGCCACCACAGGGACTCATGTAGGGGGGTCTCCCCAAAAGAAAACCAGGGGCTGTTCCCAGAGAAGCAGGGAAGGGGCTGGGCAGTGTTAACCACAGTGTCCAAGCTGCAGCCAGATCTCCCCAGGGCCCGGCACCCTGTGACACTGCCAGGCCCTCACCCAGGCATCAGAACAATTCCTACAGGGGCCTCACAGCCTCTCTGCTTGTGCCCACGGCCTCGCCCCTTCAACAAGCCCCACTCCATTGTTTGGCTTCTTCAGTGTTCACCCCTCTACTCGGGTGTCCAGAAAACTCCAGCCTGGACAGCTCCCTGGGCCCAACAGGGTGTAGGTCCCATGTAAGCCCTGAGCCATTATGGAGCACAGTCCCCGGAGCTGGTGGCAGGAGGAAGAGCAGATCACTCAGGTCAGCCAGGCTGCTCCAGGAAGGAAGGGAGAGAGGGAGGGGGGAGAGAAGGCAGGGGGTGGTGTCGATTCATGCAACCTGGGAGTCTGGAGACCGGCTGGCTTCAGACACCCTTCAGTTCGGGTTCTGAGGAAGTCCTCTATCCTTCTGGCTCTCTCCCTCTCTGTGTTTTTCTCCTTATCTTGTCTCCCACCTCCTGAGTTCCCTCCTCCCAGCCTGGCTTTATTTCCTCCCACTGCATAGGGATATGACAGGAAGTGTAGCCTGTGACAAAGACAGAAGCCTGGTTTTATTGGGGGCAGCAAAATGCCCAATGATCAGTGACAGTTCTCAAACTTCTTTGCAACCAGTAATAAGTAAACAGAAGTATTCTGTAGTACTACTGGGAAGGTTGCCTAAAGGAAGCTGACTCAGCTGGAAGGAGCATCTTTTTGGCCCTCACCTAACTTTCCTCCTTCCTGTTACCTAAAACATGAGTGCAATGGCTGGGGCTTTGGCAGCCATTTTGAGCCACTAGGGGAGACTGAACGATTCAGTAAGTCACATGAGCCTTGGGATGGCCACCACCAGACCTCCTTCTTTTTTTTTTTTTTTTTTTTGAGTTGGAGTCTCACTCTGTCGCCCAGGCTGGAGTGCAGTGGCAAGCACATTCACGGCTACCCTAGCATCGAACTACTGGGCTCCAGCAATCCCTCCGCTTCGGCCTTCCAAGTAGCCAGAACTACAGAGGCGCGTTACCACGCCCAGCTACTTTTTATTATTTATTGTAGAGATGAGGTCTCGCCAAGCTGCCCGGGCTGGTCTTGAACCCACGGGCTCAGGCAATCCACTTGCCTCGGCCTCCTAAAGTGCTGGGATTACAAACTGAGCCACCAAGCCTGGCCCAGATCTCTTTCACATTAAATAATAATAAGCCTTTACGAGTCTGAGCCACTTTTATTTGATGCTTTTTGTTTTGTGCAGCCAAACTCAATCCCGTGACACACGGCCACACGCAGCTTCAGCTTCACATCTTTCCAACTCAGAAACTCCAGAGTCAGGACCCCTGCTCCTCTCATTCCACATCAAGGTGTCCAGGGCAGAGCTCTGAGCAGCACCACTGGGGCCATGACGAGAGGAAGTCTGAGCCATGACTCAGGCCCACGCCTAGGGCATTTTGTGTTACTTGTTTGTTTGCTTTTGAAGAGAGGCAGCTGGAGTGGAGTCACATGAATGGTGGAAGAGGAGAATTCTCCCAAAGAAGAGGTGGTCTGGACACAGAAAGCAATGGGTGCCCCTACAGCTGGCACGTGGCGAACCCCAGCTGGCCTGACTCACAGCCAGGTGCTCCCTCCACTCTGTAGTATGCCAGTCTTCACAGAAGAGCTTCCCTACTCATCCTCTCAGGTGCTAGGACTGGGAAGGAGCCCACTGGGTGGGTCTCCCGTCTCCCAAGGAGGCCCATCTGGAGACTACGATGTTGGGGTCAAGAGGACAAGCTAGGGAGGGCGCCAAGGTCAACTCTAGGGAGCACATCTCAACCCAGCACTGTTAGGAGATGAGTGTGTGTGTTACACTCAGACAGATCTGAGTTCAAAACCTGCCTCAGCCACTTCAGCTGTATAGCTTTGGGCCAGTTGCTTTACCTCTCTGAGCTACCATGCCAATTCCCTCCTTTCTGCCTCCAGGTCTGTCTTCACTCCCGTCCCCAGTCCCCCTAATCCGCCCGCCAACACACACACCTAGAATTCCCTCTTCTTCCTCTCCTGCCAACTACCCATCCTTCAAAGGCCCACCTCAACAGTTCCCACGACCCCCAGCCAGGAACACAGCGTGGTGACGTATTAGCCCTGGGACGTGTTGACACACTCCCCTTGATGCCAGGACACCCCACATGGCCTAAGAAACAATTCAGCTTTCAGATTTTCCAAATGACCAAACATGCAAAACAGACAACTTCACCTGGCCCTGAACCGGTCCCACACCAAGACTCCCCTCCAGCGGGATGGAGCTGGGGTCCGAGTGGGGTGGGCTCCACACACAACCACCCCCGCTCCTGCCTGGGGCGCCATGTTCCACAGCCCCACCTTCTTCTTGCAGAACAAGCACAGTGGGACCAAGGTAATACCCTCTGTCCCCTGCTCTCTCCTGACCAGCAGCCAGACTAAGATGGGCTCCTGGGAGACAGGATGGATAGCCCCTGAGACACTAAGCCAGACAAAAAAGTCAACTTTAACTCTTAAATTTATTATTTAGATTATATTATTTATGTAATACCTAGTATTTAAAATTTTACTATTTTTATTATTAAAATACTACATGTTCACAAGAATTCAAACAATACAGAAATGTGAGCGACAAATGTGAGTCTCCAATCATTGGCATGGGGGTCAGAGATGTCTCTTGCACCCATCTACTGAAAACCAAACCCAGACACGACAGTCAACTCAGCCCTGTGGAGGCAGCTGTCCTTGCGTCACCACCACTCAGGTCTGGGTGTCGCCTGTCAACATGCTGCTGCTGTCTACATGGGCGCTGCTTGAAGCTGGGGACAAGCTGGGGTTCATGTCTGCCCAAGCGCAGACCAGGTGGGAAGGAGAGAAGGAAAAGAGGATGGGGAAGAGAGGGAGGAAGCCCCCATTGCCTTGGTTGACAATCCCTTGTGCAAAATCCTTCGGGAACTAGAGACAACAACCCCCTCTGCCTGGAGGGGACCGGGAAGCAGTTGTGGAGGCCTAGCCCGGTCCTGAGGCAAGACTAGGAACTATCTAGAATTTCTGGACATCCGCTGAGGAGAGAGACAGAGGAAAGGCAGTTCCAGCAGAAGGCACGTAGGTATGAGGAGACACAGCATGCCGGGGCCTCCATTCAGGCCTGGTGCAGCCCAAAAGTAGGCCGTCTGGAGGCCGGAGAGGACGGGAAAGGAGGCCGAGGCCTTGAAAAGGCCTTCCCGAGCTGGACTGAGGCCTCGGGACTTCCCCGGGGATGGCAGGGAACACCCAACAGGTAAGCACCTCAGTTGATCCTCGGTTGAACAAATGATGCGGTCCATTGTTGAACCAGACCAGTCGGAGGGGATCCCAAGTCCAACCCTCGGAGGGGCAGGAGCCCCGGACCCATCCCCAGCCAGGGACCCAGCAGCTGCTCCCCCTTCCCCCCATCGACTCCAGCCCGGATGTTTTTCTCTGTGCTTGATGAAGTTAAAATAAGCCCTCTCCGGGGTGAGTCGCAGGCGTTCAAATTGGATTGGCACGCGGACGTCGAGCAGTTGGTGGCAGGAGCCAGGGGACCCGGAGAGCAGGTTTTCGCTGGAGGGGACGTGAGCTTTATTTCCCTCTTGGTCGCTGACAAGGAAGCAGCTGTCCTTCCCTGATTATTTTTACCTCCAGTCACAGCCGCTGCCACGGAGCCTCCCGGGCGCCCGCCGCCTGCCAGGCCCAGGTGAGGAGCCCACCGCCCCCGCCCCCCACGGCTCCGCCACGAGCCGCGAGCTCCATCTACCGCCGCCGCCACGCAGGACGAGAAACAGCCGGCCCGGGGTGCAGCCCCCGGCGCGCCAGGGTGGGCTCACCGTCGGAAGACAGACCCGGCAGTCCGGAAGACTGTCAAAGCGGGAAGAAGCATGGCCAAGTCCCCTCTCCACACAAGAGCTGGCGTCCTCCTTTGTTTTAGTCCAGACTTTTAGTTTGATGAGACTGTTTAGTCTCACCTGCCTGTCGCTGGCCTGTGCTGTCCTGCCCTTGAAAAGCCCAAGAGGTGGGTGTCATGAGCTCTGTGTTAAAGCTGAGGGAACGCAGACTCACAGAGGAGAACAGCTTGCCTGAACTCACACAAGAGGAGAGGAGGAGAAACGGGATTGGAACCCCACTGTCTGACTCCAAATCTTGTGCACCGGCCATGATATTTTTAAGCCTTTGTCCGTGTTTCAGTTAGGAATGCTCTTAGCTGCAAGTAACAACAGTGCTTGAAATAAATGGAGGCTTATTTTCCCCACGTACCAAAAGGACCAGTCATGGATGGTCTCTGGGTTGGGGGAGCAGCAGCTCAGGGACGTCATGGACTCAGAGTCTTTTCACGCTGGCTGCTCCGCCATCCTTGAAAGGTTGTTTTTTGACCAGCTTGAGGTCTCGTGGTCACAGGAAGGCTCCCACGGCTCCAGGCATCTCACCTGCATTCAAGGTGGAAGGAAGGTGGAGGAGGGGGTGGTGAAAGCTGTGAAAATTCCCTTTATCAGGAAATCTAAACGGGTTTTTACATTCCCCTAGGAGTCTTTGGTTTATATTTCAGTGATAACATGAGGGCCCACGAAGGCAGGAGAAGCTGAAAAAGCAAGCATTTTGCAGACAGAGGAGAAGGGCAGTGAGAGGAAATGCAGAGTCAGTCGCCAACAGTGTCTGCCACAGTCCACACAAAGTTGTACCTGGCTGCAATTATACCACACATAAGTTTGGCATCCCACTTTTTTCTTTTACTGTTACACCACTTGCAGTTTCCTTATCACTGTGTTGTTTTTATCATTCTCATCATTGATGGCTTTGTAGTTCTTCAGGTGGATGAGTCATAATGTATTTACTGGACATTTACGTAGCTTCCAATTTTTTTCAATATTATACATAATATTATGATGAACTTCTTCATGCACAAAGCATTTTACATAGAAGACAATTACTTAGGTCAAAGATTTTAACATCTTTGGGGCTCTTAATATATTACTTGACTGATTTCTTTTTTTTTTTTTTTTTTCGGGTTGGAGTCTCACTCTGTCACTCAGGCTGGCGTGCAGTGGCATGTTCACAGTCATCCCAGCATCGACCTGCTGGGCTCCGGCCATCCTTCCGCCTCAGCCTTCCAAGTAGCTGGAACTACAGGCGCATGCTATCATGCCCAGTTAATTTTTGATTTATTGTAGAGATGAGGTCTCGCCAAGTTGCCCAGGCGGGTCTCGAACCCGCGGGCTCAGGCAATTCACTCACCTTGGCCTCCCAAAGTGCAGAATTACAGGCTGAGCCACTGAGCCCGGCACAAATTAGTATCTTAAAAGTGCTATTGTTTTTATTCGTTTGATTAAAACTGAGGAAGACCATTTTTCCCCCATATATTTTTCACTTTGTATTTCACTTAGTATTTTTTAAACTTCTGTATTTGTTCACTTCTCTATTTGGTAAAGTGTTTGTCTTCTGGAGTAAGAGACTCATTTTTACAGACACAGCCATGCTGATGCTGGTATCAACTCTGGGCATGTCACCATTCAGCTCTCTCATTCGATCCTACAAGCTTCTGTGAGAAAGGCAGGGTGGGGAATAGGATCGCAAGTCACAGATGAGGGCATGAGCTCAAGAAGTTCATGTAGTTACCAAGAGGCAAGGCCTCCAGCTCTGAGTTCAGGGCTTTTTCTTCCACAGTGCTGCTCTTTTGAAAAAAGTCACAGCTTTGTGGAGATTTAATTCATATACCATACAATTCCCCCTCTCAAAGCATACAACTCAATGGTTTTCAGTGCATTCACAGAGTTGTGCCATCATCACCACAATCCATTTTACAGCATTTTCCTCATCCAGGAAAGAAGCCTTGTGCCTCCCAGCAGTCACTCAATCACATCAAGTAGAGGCAAAAATATCTTTAAGCTTTGAGAAAAGGGATGGGTTGGACAGGCTGTTTGAAGAGAGCCAAGGGGGCTGAGGCCGTGCCACTGACTTGCTACGTGGCCACACGTACCCTTCTCTGGTTCCCAGTTTCCTCCTAATACAAGTAGGTATTTATTGGGCACCTGCTGTGTGCCAGACTCCAGCTGGGCGTGTCACAGGGCAACTGAAACCCAGAGCAGAGACGTGACTCATTCAGATCCCTACGCTGGTTGGTGGCAGAGAGGTGATGGCCATGGGGGCTGGGAGTGGGGAAGGGTTCTGGATCCTAGCTCCAGGTCACTGTATCTCCAGGTTTTAGCTTCTGAAGCTGCCCCAGAAGTTTTCTCACTGGCTGAGGAGGGGCCTGCCACAGGTTCACATTAAATCGTTGTTTTGCCTTCTGGTGGCCACAAGCAGCGGTGCGGGTGTCAGGCCTTGGGCCCATTAAGGGGAGTCTTCCTCCCACTGCCCACTCCCTCTCCCCACATCCATCCCCAACACACACTCACACGCAGACGTTAGAGCCACAAGGTAACTGTCTGGGTGTGACTAGGTCCTTCAGTTCTTCAGCAAACACAAAGTCCCTACGTTGTCAAGCTTGGCCTGGGTGCTGGGGGATGTGGAGCCAGGCAGGCAATTTCCTGGCATTTGTAGGGATCAGGGGGCTCCTGAACCAGTTTAAGGTGGGGGACAGGGAACGCATCCTAGAGATCTGAAGGTGAAGTAGAGATGAACCAGAAGAGACTTGGAAGTGGGGTGCCATGCCTATCCCTAAGCAGAGGACAGTATACGCCAAGAAAGGCCTGGAGGTAAGGACAGAAGGATGTTCACCCTGGCTCGAGGCTGAGGGGCAGAGACATAGTGAGGGAGGAAAGAGGACAGGGACAGATTGTGTCAGCCATGAGAGGAAGGTTGGACTTTTTCCTGGAGGCACTAGGGAGCCACAGAAGGATTTTGAGCAGGGGAGGGATAGGATTAAATGTGAATTTTTGAGAAATCATTCTGATTGCTGTGTGGGAGAAGGGTTGGAGCAGGCAGGAGGGGAGCTGGTGCTGGTTCTGGGCCCACCCTGGTCACTCATGGCACAGGGTACATGGGGGAAGGGAGGAGACTCCACTTTGTCTACAGAGCAGGAGCCAGTCCCTCTCACAGAAAAATGACAGTGACTCTGATACTCACAAATCTCTTCTCATAGTCATGCTTTATATCCCTGAGGGGAAGAGGCAATTCTCTACATTCTGTGGAAGGAACAGACAGAGATACCTGCCCAAGTCATATGAAACTTGACTGATGGCCAAGCCGCAATTCCATGGGGATTGTGGTGACCTCAAAGTGAACACATCCTAGCTGCCAGCTCCTCCTTCCAAAATTCCTGGCTCTGGATTATGGGAGGTGTGGCCGAAGGGCTGAGACAGGACCAGGGCCCAAGGATGAAGACCAAAATGTCCTCAGGCCACCCCTGAGGCTCCCCTGGGCCCCGACTGCCCTCACACTTCCCATCCCATCTACCCAGACAATGAGCCTCAGGCCCCCAGTGACTATCAGTCACCCACAGCCTCCAGGCCTTGTCCACAGAGACAAGGATCCTGTCAGAGCTGCCCGCCATAAATCCGATGGATGGCCCCTGGCTGCCAGACGGACAATGCCCAGGCTCTGGGGTGGAGAGATTAGGCCAGACCGCAGCCCAAAGTGGTCCCAACGGCTCAGGGGCCTCAAATCCATAGATTGCACCCTCCCCCATTCATGGTACTTGACCATCTCCAGGAGTGACTCCCAGGAAATGTGATCCCATGGAAGGGAGGGAGTTGATTTGGGGGCCCCAGGGCAGGGGCATTGCCAAAGACAGGAAGGTCATTCCTTAGGTTCCAGGGAAAGAGTTGGGATGAGACCGGAAGGGCAAGGCAAGAAGGGCCAGAAGGCAAACAAAGGAGATGGCAGCGCTGGAGCAGAGAGAGCACCGCTAAGAGGCGGACTTGGAGCCCATCCCTTCTGTGCCACGTAACTTTGGGCAAGTCCTGGCTTCTCTCTGAGTTCAGTTTGCACATCCATAAAATGTGCAGAATCCCTGCCTTCAATGAGATGGTGCAAGTGTGAAAAGGTACAGCAGGGCTAGGCAGAGGGAACGATCCATCTTGGGCCTCTCCTTCCAGCCAGTCTTACTGGCCCTGGAAACAGACTGGGTGGGGTTGGGAGGGTCACAAACACAGGAGAACCAAGTCTTGCATACAGTCTGCTGGCCTGGGAACCTAGGAAACCATCAGAGCTCTGCCCCTGGTAGACACCTCTATCTCCCAATTTTTATTTTGAAAATTCTCCATACCAGAGAAAACTGAAAGCATAGCACACTGAACACCAATATATCGTCCACTCTGATTCTCCACCTTCTTTTAAAAATAAACCATTATAAGATGGTACATTTTATGTTATATGTATTTTACCATAATTTTTTAAATGGGGGGAAAACACGCTGTCAGCAGACTGTTTTAAAACATGTAACTGGGTTTTGACAAGAATACTAATGGACAGTGTGCCAGGCACCACGGACAAGCACACTTAAAATTAAAGTCACTTAAACCCCACAGCAAATCCATGAGCGATGCACTATTTATCATCTACATGTTACAGATGGGGAAACTGAGACTCAGAAAAATTAGGTTAGCGTCAACGTGAACTTAGATGGGTCAGTCTGCCCCCAGAGCCTTGGCCAACCTCCTTCCCACCCAGGAATCCCTGTTAAGGCCAGGGAGATGTGCCCCCAGTCCCTGCCGCCTACTTCCATGAGGGACCTTTGCCCTGCACCCCAACGCCTCAGCCTCCCTCTGCAGCTGGGTGCCCAGCTCTGCCTCCTACTCCCTCCTCCCATGGAGAGCCTCTCCCTACATTGCCTCTCAAGTAACTTGAAGATCCAGAGACCCAGGTCCAAGGCCAAGCTCTGCCACTAGCCAGCTGTCTGACTTGAGGTGAGAACCCTCAGTCCCCTCTGGAAAGTGGGCTTGACATCCCTTCCTCACAGCAGGCTGAGGTCAAGGAGATGAAACCTGCAGGGAGCACAGAGTAGGTCAGATACCGCATGCAGCCCCTCTCCCAGTTCCCTGGCCGCCAATGGAATTGGGAAGTCCAGGGATCCTTCAGCTTCCATAAGTTCCTTGTGGACCCACATTTCACAAGGTTGCCCCTTCTAACGGGGTAACTTCACCGGTATGTTGGGGGGAGGTAGTGACAGCAGGCCCGGTCCAGGGACTGACGATCCCCTCATCCACCCTCAGGCGGGTCTCCCGCAGCCCAGCGCCCGCCCACAAGGGCGGAGGTGGGGGACTGGGAAGAGGGGACCGAGGGGCGGGGTCTCCTAGCACCGCCCCGGACACCGCCTCGCAGGGACTGGTGGGGCCGGGAGAGCCGGCTGCCACCTCCCACACTTCAGTCCACAGGCACCTCGCAGACGTGAACCAGCCACGGGGCCGGGCCAGGCAAAGTGGGTGAGGACCCGGGGCTGGGCACAGGGGAGGGACCAGCGGGGAAGGGGAGGTCCCTGTCCCAGACTCGCTGGCCTCGGAGGGGTTCCCCACTGGCCCTTAGCTGAGGAGGGAGGTGTGGGGGCAGCCACGCTTCATCTCTCTCTCTGGGGTGTTTGGTGAGCAAGAAGAGCGGTTGCCAGTGGGGTGAGGTGCCTATGCAGGCGGACCAGAGCAGGGAGTGGGCTCCAGAGTCTGCAAAGCAAGACTCCCAGTCCTACTGGGCTGCGGTGCCTTTGGTTTTCATGTTGTACCTGGAAGAGGGAAAGGGTATGAGTTGTCACCGGTGATAGCCCCAGACTCCCAGGTGGCAGGAGGCCCCCTGGCGGGACACTGTTTTCTGAGACACATTTGTGTAAGGCCAGGGCTAGGGCAGAGACCCAGAAGGCTCTTCCCTACCTGCAGAGTCCCCCAGGTTGCCAGGATTGGCCCCCAAATCACTCAGGATTAGGGTATCCCCAGCTTTTACAGAAACTGACTGAGGCAACCCCACCATCAGCAATCTCCAGCTGATCTTGAAGGAGGTATGGCAGTGGCACTGGAAGGTGGGACCATGCAGGAGGGCCAGCATGGCCCAAGGTCTGCAGAAGGGATACTGCCCTAGAAATGTGGAACAGCTTGGGGAGCAGGGGCAAAGGTGGTTGCAGGAAGCCAGGGAGCTCAGCAGAGGTCTGCTAAAGCAGAGCCTTAAATGCCAAGCAGGGAACCCCAAAGAATACGAGAAAGACCATGTGGCCCTGAGCACTCCATCCCCTGCAGAAACCCTGAACTCTGTTTCCACCCCTCTCTGGCCCATGGATTGCTGTTGCCTTCCCCTCTCCCCAGTTCTCCAGGGCTACAGTGTTTCCCAGCTTCAGCTCTGAAAGAGCTCCTGGCGACCATTCCTTTGTGCAAGGAAATGTCATCCCTCAGGGACGGGCCACCCCATCTCAGGCTCCCAGCCCACTGGTCGGCTCCCAGCTTAGTGGTGTCTGAGAACCACATAAAGGGCAATGTGGTCCTGCAGAAGTCAGAGCGGGGAGCAAAGCAGGACCCTGAGTGGCTTTCCTTTTTTTTTTCCTTCCTCAGTCCACATTGGCCACGCCTGTGACTTCTGCTGTCCCTCGCCTGCCCCTGCTGGATCCAGAATGGTCCTCTGGTGCTACTGCCTCCTATACCTCCTGGTACCTTGGCTCTGGGAGGGCGGTGCAGTGGGGGAGGCCAAGGGGATGCAAAGCTGCAAATATTTACACAAGATAAGCCCCTAGCATGGAAATACAATAAGAGCACCCAGTAGGTGCTACACCTCTTACATTCACTTATCAGCTTTATTCCTCACAAGGGAGAAACAGGCTCACGACAGTGACATGACTTGCCCATGGTCACACTCTGGGTGGGATCTGCATCCAGGACTGACTGCAGAGCCTGCAGCTTCCATTGCAACCCTGGTCCCAGAACACACAGTGGGCATTCAATAACTGCACACGTGGTAGTGAGGGAACCTGTCCCAGCCCCCACCTGTCTTCTTTTTTTCTCAGATCAGGAGTCTCTCTGGGACCCCCTCCAACTCCCCAGATGAATCAAGGAACCCTTGGGTCACAGGTTGGCATGAGGGATCCTCTCAGGGAGGCCCCTTCCCCCACTCTGCCAGTCTGTGGTCCGAGGGGTACACTGACCTAGAATGCAAAGGAAGGGAGGGATGCAGTTTAATCCAGCCCCACGATACCGGGCCCTGAGCAGAAAGCTTCACTGCATCCATCTCAGTCCTGCCCTTTTACAGATGACAATAGGGGACAGAACTCACCAGGTCATAGAGTATGGTCGGGGTCAATGTCACGGAGGCCAGAATGACTCCAAGCCCAGGTCCTTGGCCCTGCCCAGCCCCAGGAGGGTCAGATGCCCATGAAGTGCCTCCCACGCCATCACTCCTATCCCTCCAGCCCCAGTGGCCCCGGGCGAGGTGGTCGAAACTGCAGCTGGGGTGTGCAAGTTCTCCCAACAGTGGCTGAGCTGGTGGCAGGCCCAAGAGTCCTGCGAGCAGCGGTTTGGCCACTTGGCACTGCGGCCCCTTGATGGGGTTCTTGCTCCACGGCTGCACGACCCGGTCTGGGTGGGCCAAAGAGAGGCTTCTCTGCGGAGACCCCCACAGAGGCGTGAGTGTGGGCCTGGGGCTTGGGAAGTGGGGGTGGCTCTGATGACCTTCAGAAATGGGAGCCCAGAGTGACACTACTTGAGGAAGGAAGCCAGAGTAAGACCCTATTGCAGCTCCAGGTTCCCGCGTTGTGGAGAAGTGGGGAGGTTGACTCCTGGGCAGAGAATTATAACCCCCATGTCTTCCTCCCTGAGGTGGGGAGGCACCCCTGAGCACCGAAGGGCCCTGCGGCAGCGCCAAAGGGCAGTCAGTCAGAGGCAGGACCAAGTGCACTGCTGGGGAAACTGACATCCTGGCCCGCGTGTCCCCGCAGGCGCGCGCACCACCGCCGCGCTGTGTTCCAAGAGAGGACGGCGGACAGGGCGGCGCGGTTGCGGAAC